TGCTAATTAATTACCACCAGGGGGGCTGAAGATACGTCCAGAACATTTGGGGAGTTTTTTCAGGGAATTTTCTCCTGATACGTAAGAGATGCCTGGGGAAGAAGAGATTTGGGTTGTTGCAAAATATAGATATTTGCAGTGTGTTGCTCATACATTTTGCATGGCACGCACCCCCCCCCCTGAGAACTCAAATCCATCTTGCTGTCAGAGAGGAGAAACATATGAACTGAGCATTAAATCTGGGAGGAGAGTGGCTTTCCTTTGCTGGAAAAGGGAGAAAATTGCTCCGGCCACAAACTGCCCTGGATCATTATCCCCAAAGTTTATTTTCTTAGGATTTTCCGATAAATACCAGCGTCTCCATTGTTGGGAATAATTGCAGTGGCTGAAGAGGAGCGGTCTGATCGCGTAACGCCTGGGGGCTTTTGTGCCGGTTCTGATTCAGCAGCATTAGCAAAAGTATAGCAGCATTAAATGAAACTTCTCAGCTCATCAGTCTCCATTACAACTTATCTTAAGAAGACCAAAATTAAAACATTCTTTTCAAAGCAAAGCCTTTATGATTAAAAACTTGACAACTTCAGTCTTTGGAAATTGGAACAAAAACCTGCACTGGGGGAAGAGAAGCATTAAAAACGTTGTGATGGTGCACAAAGAAATTCCCCTGGTGCCGCGGGAGGAGGTGGCACATCCGCTGCTGTGGAGGGATGCACGGAGATGCTGGTCCATGTGCCTTGGTAAACTAGAAGGGTAAAGAGACCTGTCAGCATCTTTGTCCCATCCCTTTTGTCGTGAGCAATAAAGAGCAAAAAAATGAATTAGTATGAACTAAAAAAAAACAAACCAAATTGACCTGGTTGCATCATTTCTCGTGGGAGAATTGCAGTTATATTGCAATTAAAAACAGTTTATGAGACTATGTCAGTTAGGATGGAGTTGTTAACTGAGTTTTTATGCTCTTACAGCATTTTGATACCCACCAAATGTTACACGGCATTTAAATGCAATTCAACTTTGTAATCTCATTTTCTTTTGTCTTTTCTACTGTATTTCATTCTACCTCATTCTGTTAATGCATTATATTTAGTACAGAAAATGCCACTTACAACTATTCCAACATTATCCTGATGAAATAACCGTTCGTGTCCAACCCCAGCACGGCCCCTGCGCATCCGGAGCTTGACCGGCGAGCGAAGCCGGGGGCACTGGGACATCCCTCTTGTGATGCCAGCGTCATTTCCAGGCTTGAACACTTCCCCTTGATTTCAGCGGGAGCTGCTGAGCGCTTGGCACTCGTGTTAAATCTCCTGGGTGAGCTCGGGAACGGGAGGGCTGCGCTCCAAAGAGACGACAGCGCTTGGTCTTTGTCCCACGGGGTGCTGCTGAGGGCATCTACTTTAAAACCAGGTCGAGCATCTCATCCCATCCTCACTGTAAGCAAAGCAGGACGGAGGACGACGACCTGCCCCATGCCACCTGCCTGCTGGAGGCGATGCCGGAGCCCCAGCGGCTGGGTGAGGAGAGGGGGGGGAGGCAATTTATTAGGCAAGACTCAGGCTCAGTGCAGGAAGGGCAGGGTTTCCTAGCTCTGCGTCAGCTAGCTGATCCCCAAAAGGGCTTTCCCACTTATCCCACGGCATCTTGTTTTGAGGAGTCTTGTCTAGGACCCCTTGTGGGGCTGTTACCTACTTGGCAATGCTTTAAGTCTCCAGGAGGCTTTCCTTTCAGGTGGTAATGATTTTCCTCCATAACTCTGTTTTCCTGCCTATCCCCTTGTTCTCCTCTTCTATTACAAGGAGACGCTGTGAGATGCTGCGTGGGCTCGTCCACACTTCCCAGCACATGCCCCAAACCGAAGCGGGGTTTACTGCAGCAGCATCCTGAGGGCGCAGGCGGGGCGAACTCGCCTGGCTTCTGTGCGAGCCCGGATCCTGCTGAGCCCACCGTGCCCGCTCGGGAGCCCTGTGTGCTCCCCGTGCCACCTCTGCTCCGATCTTTGTTCCCTGGTACTCGCTGGGCTGACCCACGGGCTCCCCAGGGAGCTCCTGCCCTTCAAAAATTCATTTTCAGCGTCAGTGCTGGGAGTTGGACCTGTGGGAAATCAGCGGGATGTGGCTTGCTGTTAGCAGTGGTTTAGGTAGCTCTGGAGGGACCGTAGATACAGGCTTAACTGGAGACGGAATCGGTGAAAGATTGCAAATTGGTGATGTTTGGAAAGCCACGCGCTGTGCTGGCGGGTACTGAGCTGGGAAAGGCTTCCTTCAGACACTGCTGGGTTGTAGCTGGGACCCAGCAAAGTACTTAAATAACGTGTTTAACTTCCAAAATGTCTCAGATGGTCAAATTGGGATTTATGTAATACACTGAAGTCCTCTGACAGTGACCTGAAATAACTTTTACGGGTATGATCTGCAAATCTGTGCTATTAAAGCCATCTGTCCTTGGCAGAAGGCGCTTCAATACCACGGTGACAAACAGCAAATAAGGTTTTGGGGAGCAGCAAGTGCTTTCCCTCCTGGAGCACAGAAGTGGTGGGCAGGTTTCTCTGCAGGATCCGATGGTGGGGCCACGTCGGGCAGCGAGGACTGACCAGAGAGGAGCGGAGGAGCTCTCTTGCAAGCTTGCTGACATCTCCGTCTCTGCTTTTTCAGGGTTACCTTTCCGAAGGCTTAGTAACAAAATGGTATCGCTCCCCCCGCCTCCTCCTTTCACCAAACAACTACACCAAAGCCATCGATATGTGGGCAGCTGGCTGCATCCTGGCCGAGATGCTGACGGGGAGGATGCTCTTCGCTGGTAGGTTACTGGCTCCCGTTGATTAATTTTTTTTCCTCCTTCCTTGCTACCCAATTCAAAGACTTTTTAAGCATGGCAGAGGGAATTCCCCTTTCTGTGCCAGCCGAGGCATAGCGTCGCTACAGGGATCCCGTGGTGGGTTATTAGACATGAGAGCTGCCTCCAGAACGAACGTCATTTGCACAACCTCTGCTGTTAGAGGGTCCCTTGGTTGGTGCAAGCTGCCCTGATACAGGCAGGCCCTTGGGGACGGAGAATAGTTACTGTCTTGTTTTTTGCTCAGCTTTCTTATGCTTGCCTGGGAAGGACACGTCGTGGTATGGGTGCGATGGCACCCAGTGGGAAGCCACTGGCCAGTGGGGTGCCCGGGGCTGGCTGGGGTTGATGGTGCCTCTGTGCCGAGCCTTGCCGGGCAGGGACGGTCTGCTGCCGAAAGCAAAACCCCAAACAAAGAACAATTCTGATGAAGCAACAAAACGTTTTTCTGTTTCAGGGTTTCCAACAGAAAGTAAGAGCTTTTTGTTGGGAGAGAGGATGCTAAAAAAGTATTGTAGGGTGGAGTGTAAGGACAGGTGATAATGTGGCCCTGTCCCAAGAGGTTTGTAGTCTACGCCGTGGATTTGAATTGTGATTGATATCTTCCAGTTACTTCTTTTCTTTGAGGGAAGGTATTTGAATGCCACCACCCATTTTCAGGATTTCCTGTAATCATGGAATCATTCAGGTTGGAAAAGACCTTTGAGATCATCAAGTCCAACCATCAACCCTACTCTACCAAGTACACCCCTAAACCTATTGCCAAGCAGATAAGTGGGTATTGGAGTTGTAAAGGTGCAGTGCAAAGAAAAGGAGACAAAAAAAGCACCGGCAAGGAGCACGTAATTATCAGTGCAGCATTTGAAGCTCAATTCTGATCTTCATGAGGAGCAAATCCTTATTTAATACCATTCCAAAAATGCTACTGTCAGGAGCAAACCTGTGCTTCCCAGGCTGGGACGTTTCATTCAGGAACGAGGCAGCCGCGCTCTGCCTGTTGAACAAGCTGCCTCCCTGCCCCAGGTCTGCAGCAATCCTCCTCCTTGGTTGTCTCTCCATCACCCGTTGCTGTTTTGAATGACAAGGTTTAACGCATTTCGTGAGCAGCTGTTTGCAGACTTCTGTAAATAAATCATTAGACCCATTAATAATGGAGAAGGACATTTTCTTCACAAAGATTTCAGTGCACCGCAGAGCTCCGCAGCCGGTGCTTGATTGCAGCTGCTCTGTCGCTCCCTCCCTGCTCCCGCTTGCAGCTTCAGCTTGTGAAAGCTGAAAATGAAGCAGTGGGTGTCATTTTGAAGAGGTCATTCAAATTGCCTCCCTTTCCTTCCTTCCTCTTGTCCTCAGTCTCCCCTCCCCAGAATTTTCAAGTCCAGGGCCTTCAGCTCTGAAAATTATGCATCAGACCTGGCTGCTTCCGCTGCCTCCTCGGGATGTATTTATTCCAGGAGCGGCGACATCTCCACGTGCTGCTTGTCCCTGTGGGTGCAGGGCATTTTCTGGTCTCGCTGGGAGATGCTGCACCTGAGTGAGTTCCCGAGGCAGCTCTGCTGGCTGCCTCCCCTTGCTGAGCGGTGGTTTGCACCGTGGAAGGGTCTCCAAGCTTTTTGGGTGGAAACAAACCACACGATGCCTTTCCAGGGCAGAGCTAAAGCTCTGCCAGTTCCAGCGCACCGGACCTGAACTAGCCCCAGGTAAAACAGAGCAGCGGAAGCAAACCCCAGCGCGGATGGCAGGGTCCTGGTCCTGCAGGAGTTGCACCAGACCAGAGCAATGCGCTGCCTCGTATTAAACTGGGGGCAGCTGGAGCCCCAGCAAAATCCTTTTGGACTCTTAAGTCGACCTCTCTTTTCCTATGCTTGTTCCTCATGTCAAAGGGCAAAACAAGATTGGCTTGTCCAGGTCCTTCTCTGGCCGTTCCATCAGAGCACTCAAGAACTCATCTTTATCCTGGCTTTCCAAACTGTGCTTGACCCCTTTCTCAGCCCTAGGTGTCCGAGCTGGTCCCTAAAGCTCCCTTCGTGGTTAAGACAGAGGCAAAGGCAACTCCAGGATGTGATTCATCTGGCCTCTGTTAGCTGTCTGCCTTCAGCTGCGATTGTGCCTTCAGAATATTTGTTTTTCCACTACTGCTCATAAAGAGCATCTGGAGAACAAGCTGAAGTGCCCGTGCTGGTGAGAGCAATTCTGTGCCGGCTGCCCGGGCGAGATGCCCCAGAGCAGCCATAAGGGAACCTACTTCGCAGGTTGGTTCCTGAGAGTCCACAGCGGGTTAGTGGTCAGGAGATGGACTTGGGCAGATCACTGGGCTGAGCCGGGCGGGTGCTGCGAGCATCCCTGCTTCTCCGCTTTCTAGCCCTGCGCGATCGCTTAGTAAGTCCCCAGATGACGGTAGCATACTTAGTAGATGGGTGGGGATCAAAACCAAAGCTCAAAATACATACTCCTTTCGGGTTACTTTAAAAATAGTCTGTGGAGTTGTTATGGGAAGATCCTGGCCCCATGCCCTGTTTTCCTGGCCTCCTCTCATACCAGTAAGTAAAGAAGAGCTGGGGCGGGAGCGTGGCAGTGAGGCAGGGTGCCCATGGTGTCCCACACCATGTACCATCTTTCATCTGCTGGTGTCCAAAGAGGAGGAGAATAAAACCCAACCACTCAGAACAGCTAAAAGTGGTAAACGCTTGCATGACAGCGTGGGTTCATCTTTGCTTTTGCTTTTCCCCTCCTTGCTTGGGAGAAGGAGTTTGCCTCCAGCTAGCTGTAGCCCTCCCGTTGCTGCGGGACGAGACTTTCGGAGAGTCCTGGGTCACCAGCAAACAGCCCGTGGGAGGTAACAGCAACAGAAAGTTGCAAGCCTCCAGTAATTGCCTTGCACTGGATAAATTGTTTTTTGAGTATGCGTCAGCAGCGCAATTTAAATTGAGTGCTTAGCATAAGTCAATATAATTAACTCAGTAGTCTATCTGGGGTGCTTAGGCAACACAGTTAAATTAAGGTGATCAGTTATTAGGAATAGATGTCACTCGCGACTTTCATTCTCCTACTCAAGTTAATGAACACCCAGCAGAGAGGGATCCCAGCCCCCTTGCCCTCCCCCCAGCCCCTTCGCTGGGCGGGGTGGTGACAGGAGCAGCAGCTGTGGGTTTGGCAGAGCCCAGGGGAGGACACAAGAAATCTGGCTAACCCAAAGCTCACGGGATCACAGCACATCTCCAACAGCTAAAATCTGGTTCGCAGACCTTTGCAGAGCTCCCCACCACGAGCAGGACGGAAAACAAGGAAGAGCATCCGTAACTGAGCAGCTACAGATCCCTCCAGTGCCTTTTCCACCCTCTGCTGCAGAAGCGTATCCGAAAGCATCGCCAGTGGAAGCAAGAGAAAATAGAAGAAGAAAAGCTGCCTGTCCTCACAGATCTCCAGGGTGTTCACCAGTGGGGCTGTGCCCATGACGAAGAGCTGGGTGGTGGCGCGGTGGCTTTTCCCATGGGACCGGTGCTTGCTCCCAGAGGATTCGCTAGCAGGGCTTGGGCGCTCACCCAGGACTTGGCTGCAAGCCCGGGGAAGGGTTTTCTTTTCCAAGACGTGACGCAGAGCTCCTCGTTCTCTCCTTGGGTAACGACAGCTCGTTGTGTTTATTCTGTCTGTAGTTCATGTTTTTCGTGTCAGGAATTAATGCCTCCAGAAGGTCCCTAGGAATTACATAAATAGAGGATAACGGTGGAGAATTGGGTTCCTGAGAGCCATAATTCAACGCTTCCAGGGTTGCTTTAGCAGCATCTTTGCGTGACTAAACACGGTGCCTTTCGGCTGCCAGGTACCTTCAGTGAGCAGTGGCTGGAGCTGCACTGAGAGAACAGCCACGAAGCCTTTGTGACTTTTAATACCCTGTAATTTTGATCACAGCTTGGGAATTAGCCTGACTACCAAGGTGTCTGTTTCCTGATGGTCATCTTTAGTTTCTCCTGGAGTCATGCTGTGAACCTCTAGATGACCTAAAATTAGTTTTTCTATAGGAAAGTGAACTCATTTGCCCAGGATTGATAGTAGGAGCGTGTCCCACTGTCTTTTTTGCTTTTCCTGTTGCTCTGTCTTCTTCTGAGGCTTTGTTCTGAGCAGATGTGTGGTGTGATGGTGACCAGCTGTGCTAATGTCAGTTTTGCTTTGGGGTTGTCCAAGTTCATGGCCATGTCCTGGCTCAGAGCTCTGCCATCCAGGGTGAAAGTGGCCACGACTGCGTTGACCCAAACCTGATGGATGGAGACCCTTTCCCAGCCTCAACATTTGGACCTACCCTTGCCCAGGGGGGTTTTTTGGGGTCAGCTCCATGCGTGTGAGTCTGGAAGCCTCCTGCAGACCCACAGGGAGGTCTGGGGTGGGGAAGGCAGCCCCTGCGAGGTTCCAGGGACCTCCAAAGGGACAGGATTGCCTGAGGGTGTGAAGCCAGCAATGGTCTCCACCATCCCCTACGAGCTGGCCTCTCTGCCCTCCCTGCAGACTGATCAGAAGTGCTGTGCCATAAAAAAAGGAGGTTCGCTCCTCTTGCCGTGGATCAGCTAGGTGCTGCTTGGCAGTGAAGCGGCCTGAAATCCACGACTTGGACAGAAGGGATTTGGTAGCCCAAAAGTCCCCGTTGGTTTGTCTGCTCCAGCCAGCTCGCTGTATTAATGTATAGTCCTGCCTCTAATGACAGAATATTTATAACCAGCGTTTCTGGCAGACAGAAAATCAATACTGCGACTCAGTATTTCTGCCAGCTGCTTCTCAGTACATGTAGGAAGCTGGAAATCAGCCGCGGAGCTCTTGGTCACATCCAGTAGTGCGCTAAAGAATGGGATTAACATTCGTTAATGAGGTGGTTGGCTCCGCTCCACTGGCGCTGACGCTTCTCTCTTCTCGCTGACGAGTAGCCAGTCCTGAGCAGGGCCTTAGGGATACGTGGATAAGTATGTCCTGAAGGAAATGGATTAAAAACATATGATTACTCATAGCAGTTGTGGGGATTGTCACCACCAGAGCCTTGACTTGGTGCCCAGCAGCCAGCAGGAGCTGGTCAGGAAACGCCTTTTCCGTAAAAAAAAAAGTTTGGCACTTGTGTTCATTTAAAGATGAAGCTTTGGGACCCCTGGAGCTGGGTTCACGATCTTCTTGTTATCGTTGGGGTTGTGGCAGCACTTTTTGTCGCCGCTGCGCAGAGGGGCTTTGCTTCTTGACGTAGCACAGCACGTGGCAGGGAGACGTGGTGACAGCATCAGGCACCGCCCTGCCCGGCTGCAGCCATGTGAGCTGGGGTGCTTCATTTGGGGTTGTGAACGAGCACAGCCATGGCATTGCTTGAAGAGAGTCGTCAGTTTTGAGGCTGCTAGAGCTGCTATTCGTCTCCTTCCATCACGGAGGATGGAGCCTGCCGATGGATAATAGCACCCGCCTCCGTGATTTCGGTTGGGTAGTTTCTGCTCAGCCTGACAGCCTCAGGGTGATATGCCAGGAGGGCACATCGTCCAGGTTAACTCTTTCACCCTTAAAATGAGGTTACCCAGCTGGAAGTCCCCCTGACATGAGTGGGAGCGGGAGATACGGGGGTCTGCACAGCCTGTGTGTGTGCAGATGGAGGCATCTCACCTGAAGCTCTGCCTCGGACATGCCATGAGCTGCTGTGGAGAGGGAGAACCAAAAGGCCAGCTTTTACGTGGGAGATGGGATGGGAACAGAGGGGCAGGGAGGTGACATGGGAGTATCACTGCCCCTGGTTCATAAGAAAGTGGCGAGGATGTTTTCCTAGGAGCAAAGAGTGTTGGCTAGTGGGAAGCATCAGTGCAGAGGGGCTGGTGGGAGAAGCGGTGCGGCGGTGGCGTGGCTCATTTCAGAGGGGTGGCTGATAATACCACCCACCCCACCCCGATTTAACTTCTAGGTCTCATCCCACTGCCTGTTTTCTGCCCATTTAGGGGGTCATGAGCTGGAACAGATGCAGCTTATTCTGGAGACGATCCCCGTTATCCACGAGGAAGACAAAGAGGAGCTGCTCAAAGTGATGCCCACGTTCATCAACAGCACCTGGGAAGTGAGGAAGCCGCTGCGCAAGCTGCTCCCCGAAGGGGACAAAGAAAG